GGATGTTACAAATTGTTTAGTCTAGATGATTAAATTTCTATTACAAGTAACATATTTATTCTTCGGGATAAGTGTATTGCTTGTAGTATTATATTAAATCATCTAAACTATTTGAAAATGTGAGACTCGTTTGATCTCACTTATTTTAAAAATTAAAAAACGTTACTTCTTTAAAAAAGTTATATTTATTTTTAAATTATTTTCAAAATCCCAAAATCATCACCTTTTCAAACTACGAAAGTGAAAGTTGAACAATAAAACGGCCGACAGCTTCCTCCGTAAGTTAATGCCCCAAGGTTGCTTTACTTGCCTGTGTTACGATGTAAGGTTGATGTGGTGGGATTTGTGCTTCAATCCAAGGAAACTTCTAAAAATATAGTTTGGATGATGAGGGGCTAGGTGTCATTAATAAGGGGCAATGAGAAAGGAGATGGGGAGGTAACAAATGCATTAAGACGTCTGATTGCGAGCCACCTTATTATAGTTGACGGGATGAACATTGGGAAAATGTTGATACATTATTTTGCCTAGTTTTGTTAGAGTAGGAGGCAGTTCTTGGATATGTAGAAGGACCAGTATTGTGAAATGAAGATGTTCATGCATCCCTACAGCCAGGGGAAACAGTTGATGCTATGCTTGTGACACCTAATTAGTTTGTTGGCACTAAAATATTCATGAATGATGACACCTAATTAGTTTAAGAAAATCACCTTAGATAAAAGATTTTCAGAAGAAATTTGTTTGTTTACTTGTAGTTTCACCGCTAATACTTGGGTATTTAGTCGTTGGTAATTCATGCAATGGTTGGAGTAAATGAATGGAGGTCCATAACTTGGACCGCATGCATTTTTTGAGTGGCTGCTCTCTATTCTCATTTAACTTTTCCTCTTGAATGATAAATGTATGCCTGTTCTCTCATAGCTGGATATGGGTATCTTGTTAATCAACCAAATCCACATTAGCCGTTCTTTTATCGTTTGCTCTTCTAAATCGAGTTTCATAGGTGCCATGTTAAGGCGCGGCTTCATGCCAAATTATCTCAAAACACAATCCAAAATATGCCTTTTTATTCGATGTCAACTGATAAGTGGAACACGAGAGGTCTAAATCTGAAGCTCAAAACATTATAATTGGACCGCATGGCTCTCATATGATTCGGGGAACATTTTAGCAAGACCCGACACTCTTTAGCATTGTAACTTTATTGAATATATAATACATTAAGAAAATGATATGTTTGCATACTTGACTTTGAAGTAGGCCATCTATCTTGCCTCTCTAAACCTTCTCAGGGGTGGGTTGCATCTCTTTCAAATAATTCTCATTTTGTTTGTAAAAGATGATGTATCTCAACAAAAGAATTAAAATTATAGTGAAATTTTAAAAAATAGATGTAGTACTCGAACCCCAACTCTTTCCTAACAGTCCAAAAGGCATGCGGCATGTGATGTGGGCCTCTTAACATGCAAATCCTCCTAAATCCAGATTTGTAGTAAGTTTAGACACTCTGCTATGGTCATCTTACTTAGGCTTCCTTCAACTACCTATGGAAGTGTCCGAGCACAATTCCACCAAGAGATTACTTTAGAGTACTTAACAAGATCCTTCAAAGTTGATATATACTGTAAATGGGTCCTCACTCTTCTAGTGAAAGCATAACCATCAATGTAAATGCTTGAAATAATAGACATATCTTTCAATGTGGTTGTTATCTTGATAGACAGGTGAAATGTGTTGGCTTGTTGGGGTCAACATTCAACAAGAACAATCAATAGGTGGTGGTACAATCGGGATTGCATGTGCCTAATGCATTGTAACCCCATTGCACGTATATCTTCAATCATCTAAGTGCATATTATTGGCCACTCCCTAATCTTCAACATGTTCGATCTAAATAGTGCTTTGAGACAAATACGAAAAAATGAAGTTGACATCATGATGAATTGTCGTCACTTCCCAATTATGGCCTACAGTAGTCCCAATATTGCTTCATCAGAATGAAGAGATGTCATTTCAACATCGATAACATGGGTATGTATTCGCTAAAACCTGAGTGACATTGTTGTTATTGTTAGAACTATGATTTTTAAATCCTTTAAATGTTGTTGTATTGAGTATTTGAATTGAACAATTTTTTTCTTCAACGCATTTGGGAACAAAATCCTCCGAGGTAGTTAACTTTCTATTATAATCAATATTTAAAATTGCACATTTAAGTATTGAGGCATTTTTTGTTTGTGAGGCAAGGTGTAAGTCTTGTGGTGGCTTCTCAATTTATAATTTGCGTAGTCAAAATAAATGGGTAAAAAAATATGTACTGGCATCATAATTTATAAATAAATGAAATGAAGACCTATTAAAATTATAACATAGTAATAAGTGATAAATTACACAAAACTTGAAAACCTTAGAATGAAAATTTTGTTTTAAAATTCAAATAAATTGGAAGTTTGGAATTCATGCAAGTTTTCAAATAAAATAAAAATATAAGGTTTAGTGTTGTAAAGGGTGCAACAGATGGTGGGGCTAGGGGCAACAGAAGGAGCAGGTGACGGTTGTAAAGGGTGCAGCAGGTGGCAGTGCTGAGAACAACAAGTGGATGACGTAGGAGAGGTCGATCCCTAGGACAACAACAAGCTTGAATCATCTAGAGCTTGAACCAATTGAGCCAATTTTTATATATTGGGCCCACTTGGAGGAGGATGCTCGCAACAAATGTTATCCATAAAAAAAATATTTAATTGAAATTGTAACTATCAATTTTATCGTTAATTTAAAATTTAACTGAATTTCTTATTGATTCTTGTTTAAGAGAAAGATGATTGGGATATAACATAAGGAATGTGAGAATATAGACATAATTTAAGATGGGGCTGGTTTAGTACATTTTGTCATGCTGATGATTCTAGTGAAGAATATTAAGTGAGACGGGACCTTCTGAATTAGAAAAATTCTTACTTTGATGGCTTATTATGTTCTTACTTTGGTGGAGGACTGTTAGAAGTGGGATAAAGAGACTTGTGTTAATTTATTTTAATTATTATGCTATTATGTTTTACTTTGTTGATGATATAGCTCTCCCTATTAATGATTTAATATTAAGATTCTAGTATGTTATTTTTTTACTTTGCACAATTTGTTACTTCTTACTATGTTAGGATGTTAAGATTTTAGTATGTTATTTTTTTACTTTGCACAATTTGTTACTTCTTATTATGTTAGGATGTTAAGATTCTAGTATGTTATTGTTTTACTTTGCACAATTTGTTACTTCTTACTATGTTAGGATGTTGATATGCCACTTCTTGATGTGTTAATATATTAGGATGTTAGTATATTACGTTTTACGTTATATCTTGAAGTTAGTACAATACTTCTTACTTTGCTTTTTTTTTTAAATTTATTTTGAAGCCTATGCTTCAAAATGTATTTAAGGGCTTACAACTCACTTTATAGGCTAAAATTCCTCAATATCTAATTGTATAACTTTAAACCTTGATGCGAGATAGATAGTGATTCCTCGATGGCTTCATCTCTTACCTTTGGGTAACATTTTGATCAATCATCCTAGGACATATTTATTCTGATACAGCTTGGTCTAGTTAATGATTTATGAGGTTTATAATGACAGGAAGCATTTATTTCATCAATAAGTAAACAATAGCTACTATAATGCTTGGTATGTAGATGTTTATCAGTCTAATAAAATATGTAAAGAACTTTATAATGTTTATTTCTTTAGTGAAAATGTAGAATTTTGTATACCCGCAAGTAAAATTTATATGTTTGTGATGTATCCTAGAATATTTATCTTACATAAAGAAATTTTGTTGGCTTTATAGATGACATTTGCTTTATTACTAACTTTATTGTGAATTGAAAAGTGGAATTAAGGGATAGTAATTACGAGTGGGTTGAAGCTCTTTGTATTTGTGACAGAGTCATGGAGGTGATGGAAAATGAAAGTCATTCACAAAGAGTTATTGGCATTGGAATTGTTCTACAGTTGGGAGTAACAAAGGCGGCAATGACATCCAATTGGAGAAGATTTCCATGAGAAATCCCTTTAGTTAGAATTTTCTTAGATTTCTCATGACTTTGAGCAGGAAGCAACGGTAGTCTCGAAAGTCCCTGAGAGAAAAGAAGGTGCCTGGTTTAAAGGGTGGAGAAATAATGGCTGAATGTTAATCTTGCTACCTCTTTCTCATCCTTAAAAATAATTTACTTAGAAATCATTCAAGTCCTATTTATAAAAATTGGGTAGCATTATAAAACTAAATAGTTCAATTTCAAATCTAGATAAAGTATAAAATTTATATCCTCTGAATTAAAATAAAGGTGCTCCTAACAACTAAATGAAATAATTCTTAAAATAATTCAAATTACTAAGCTTCTAGAAATAATCTTCTTGGGCTTCATCATTGACATAAGAAGGGTTCATTTTAGTAGAGACTTTATTTTGTTCCATATCTGTAGGCTTGTTTTAATCACCCTTTAAAATTTAGTGGCCATATCAGTTTGTGTGCAGTTTTTTTTTTATGATTTAAAAGTTAGATTATGGGTTGTGTATTTTTTCTTGCATTACATTCATAAATTTATTCTTCAGGCAAATCTTTTCAAAAGCGATGCTGAGGGTTTGAAAGTCATCAGAAAATCGGCAAAAACCGCATTACTGGAATTATCTAAAGATGATTATTACAGAGTTCTTATTATTGAGGAGGGTCTAATACAGGTCCCTTTAATTGGTGCTGCTGCCTACAAGTCTTTAAGATCACAATCTCATTCTTGGCCTTCTTTACCTGATGGAACAGACTTCGAACGGACTTCATGCTCCTCAAGATACGGTGCTACTGAATTACTACTTGGACTTAGTGTTCGTGAAAAGAACATCAACTTGGAAGAGGCAAAGATAAATGCCATGGTTGGAAGATCTCAGCAGCAGTTTCTTGCACGAATTGGCGCTATTGAGAGTGATGAAAGAAGATCAGAGTCTAATTCATCTTTTAATCAAAGACATACCCTTTTGCCTTGCATTGATGGTGTTGCTCGGTTAGTCTTGTTCCTTGGGCTTGAAGATGTCTCAGCAATCACTAGAGCTGCTCTCTCTATTGCTGATGGAGCAATTAGTGAGCATTTGAGGATATTATTCAAGGAAGCTGGAGCGATCCAACGTCTGGTTACGTTGCTTTCTCATGATGATAAGTTAGTTCAAGAGGCAGTGGTTTATGCCCTAGATAGGCTTCTTCTAAGGTTTTGTTTACTTCAACCTTTTTTTTTTAAAACTTTTTTAAACTTTTTTAAACTATTTCTTTTAGGAGTTTTATTGTTCGGGTCTCTACTTTACTTTTTAATCTTTTTCTAAAAATTCTCATGAATTGATCTTTAAGAATTTTATTTAGTTTTCTAATATCATTGTTTAGAGTGAAATATTAAACTCCATTATGAAAATTTGAAAGAATCTTTTGTTGGTTATCCTGTAGTAGATAGAGAGAAAATTTAAACTCCTTTATGGAAATTTAAAAGAACCTTTTGTTAGTTTATGCTGTACTAGATAGAATATTTGTAGCGTATTGATATTAAATTTTCTTAGGGTAGTACATTTTTCATGATTTGCCCCTAGAAATATTGGCGCGGGGCTCCTTAGGGGACTGAACCGGTTTATCCTAGGGGGAGTAGGGTCGGCCGGTCCAGGTTTATTGGCTATGGTTCTCCCAAGGGGCGAGGGGCCACCCCCTCCCCTACTAGTTATCTACTATATATGCTATGTAATTCATTAGGGTTCAATTTTTGTGGAGTGTTTTTGTCAGGATAGCCGTCACATCCCTTTTTCCATTCTAGGGTTGTATCCGAGGACAAGTAGCGCTCCGACTATATCTCGTTCTAAGCTAGTGATTATCCCCAATTTACCCTACTTGACATCCACCCCGTTGCTGCCACAAACCTTTTTCCTCGATGCAAAACCCCCCCCCAAAAAACTATCTTGGTGTCTCGCTGCACCCACCACCCTCCCCTCTTTCCATCCTCCGGCTGCCCGCTTCTCTTCCTCTCCTCCTAACCATCCAGTCAACAGAAATCCCCGCTATCCCACTGTCTGCTGCCCAACCAGCCGTCCAACTCACCAACGATCACCTTTGCCCCCACCATACTTGTCCTCATTCTAGAGGGTTATTTGTGTTTGTGTTGTTTTTTTTTTAAGTGTCTTTATTTGTAATCTCTTTTGAATTTTAGAAATAATTTTTGCATTTTTACTGTAGTTTGGGTTAACTTTGGTATTAAGATATCTTATTGGTTTAATATATCCTCTGCAGCTATGAAGTGCTCCAA